TTAGTTTGAACTTTTTTTAGATTATTTTATGATGTGAAATAAAGATTATAGCCAAAATGTTGTATTGAAAAATGAGGACAGTTTAAAATTTGGGTTAGTGAAACACATATTATCACAGTTGAATAAACTATGTTTCTGTGCTTGATATCATCGACTGGTGCTGATCCTTTTTTACCACAATATACAAGTCATGATCTTTGCATTTGTTACTCAAAGTTTCCTGTCTCTTCATTTATAAGAGTTCGTTAATAATCGTCATATTTAACAATTAACTCATTGTGCTTCCTTATTTTTGGTATGTAAAACACACAAAAACATCAAGCGAATTTCACAGGGGAATGTTTCCCTCTGTTTACAACTGCTATATCGATTATCTGAGAAAATTCCCATCATTCCCAGTAAGAGACCCTCAGTTGCATGATTGCCTGGCCTGTTATAGGTATGGACTTGGTTTCTATTCATTTCGATTATCGTGCACTTACAAGTCTACGTAGATTTGATCTGTTATAGCAATATATGTTTTTGTAATTGTTGAACATTTCACTCTCGTCAAAATAATAATAACAGTTAATTAATACTAACGGTAAGAAAAAGGGGGACATTTGTCTACCACTAGTTCCTTACATTTGTTTTTAACTGGCGTACTATTTTTTACATGTCTTCTTGAATAAAATTCACCACGAATTTTGAAGCGAGAAAATATCTTTCTTTTATTACGTTCGTTCTGTTACTTGGAATACGAAATTGTAAACCTGTTTTTACAAAAACAAGGCATGATTTTAATTTTATCATTTACATCCTATTGAATTTATTTCATTAATTCCTATCATTGGTTATGGGCCCACACTATGCTTAACAGGGACATAATACGACCACATTACGACCAACTTGAATTTGTCGTTCACTGAAGACATTTTTTGTATTGGATTGAAAAATGTTTCGGATGGAACTACGCCACTTGAAAAGTGCAATAAAAAATGGCATTGATAAATAATGGCTTATGAAGTATTTTAAATAAGACGTAGACTATTCCTGAGCCCAGAATGGATGCGAACTTGCACTCAAAATTTTTGAGTATGGAAAAATTGTGCCTTGATGATCAATGTGTTGTCAATGGCGCAATCTCGTTTATTGGTGATTCTGCCTTGGTGATTCTGCCCTGGCTTGAGAAAAACTGCTAGACCAATTTCAAAAGAAGACGTGGGTGAATAAATTAGCATTGAGGAAGAGATTATATTCACTTAAAATGAAGGAAGGTAACTAATTCATAAACATATTAAGGTGATGACGGACATATTGGAAATGTTGTCAGTCATTGGTAATTCTATTGAAAGGGATCGAGCTTTACATCTCTTGAATAGCCTCCCAGATTCCTATAAGATATGGGTGACAATGATTGAAGCAAGTCGGGATGTGTGCAAGTGGGAAATGATAACAGAACGATTGCTGTAAAGAAAAGGAAATAGTGGCGAACCGGATGCTATGACGTCAAAAATATCATATCCGCAAAAAGAGGTCGAAATACTATCACTGTGGGAAATATGAACATAAAATGTGAATGTCTAATACTTGGTGAATATACGAAGGAGACAAGATTGAAAAAGAATTATTCAAAAAGGAAAGCATGCAATACGATGAAAGGAGATTCAAGTAGTTCCGAAAATGACGAATGGTTTGTTCTTAAATAATGCTGTATTGACTAATAATAAAAAGAGCAATTGATTTATGGGCCCTAGAGTAACGTAGCTGACAAAATAACACTTGATCCGAGGTCGAAGTTGGATGGATTAAATAAACAAATTAGACACTGGTTTGGAGAAATGACCAAAGATTTATTTTCATTTACAAGATATTAAAATGTCTCTGGTAAGTCGTATAGTGTAACGTTCGAATGTACGGTGTACGAGGTGAAATGTGAGCGTAAAAAAGTATATGCTTAATCCGGATGACTTATTGTTAGCTATCGGTTTGTGCTTGTCGCATTTATAGCAAAGTCCTTTCTCTTTCTATCGACAGTTAACTAGTAATTATGGAGAAAACATGCATTAATTCCACTCTGACAACAAACACATCACACACCATCTCCTGAATAAAGCAAATTACCTTTCCAAAACATTTTAAAACTTACATTTTTCTTTCTAATTGATACGATTAATTAACTAAGGATTTCGTACCCTGTCGGAACAGTTATTTGGTTCAAACGGACATCTACAACTCATATCATATCCACATCTCATATGACAAAAACAGACCTTAATTTTATCCGGCTCCAGGCACCCACTTCTGGTATATCATCCAAAATTATCCAATTGTCCTAAAAACATTTTCTGGCTAATCAGAAAAGGCCCATGCGGTTTTCGTAGCAGCCGTTTCTGAGCCACTGATTCAGTTACCATTATCGACGGACTCCACTGCAGGCAAGCCTAATCTGGCCATCAGCAGCGACACCAAAGCGCTTCCATCAACAGCGACACAACCAGCGCCGGCACCAGAGACTCAGTTACTGCAATAATTCGTGTAATATTTCTCCTATGAGTCGATCTCACTCGATTGTATACGCGTGTCAGTTTTCTTCGCGTTTCTGTTTCGACTACTACCTTGGATTATACCCCCGAACGAACCCTCTGTCTCCCATGACTGATACACGAATACACGATGCTCCGGACAAGCAAACGATTGAAATAAAAATTCTTTCACTTATCTCAACCACGTCTTATCGCCATTATTTTTTTGGTACTTTCACTTTTTTCTGTTATCGGTGAGGCCGCCATTACAATCATAACATTTTATCTGTCCACCTGTGGCAGAAATATTTGTTGGTTTATTTGTTGCTTTCTATTGAATATGTATTTTCGCTCTGCATTCTTGCATTTTTAACTAACCTACAAAATTTGATGGCCATCTGATGGCTACCACACATTGGTTTATGGACTATCTTTCTGGTCTTAGATGCGAAATTTAGATTTACCCAGACTACCAATACTTGTACCTCGCTTAATTCCATAATACTGTAATATTAAATGCAAGCGGTGGGAATATATGCCATCAAAGATGGTAGTTGATCTAAAGTAACTTGCAAGTATCAAAGCGTGTAAAAGTGAATGAGACAACCATTTTGGAAACATTGGGAAAATGATATTAGTTCAATCAAAACAATAAATACAAATAAATCATATTCTTTCAAATATTGAATTGTAAAAAGTATCAAATATAATTGGCTTTAATGTGATTTCAATGCAATCTCTTTATATTTTATGAAAAACATCGTATATAACATCGTATTAATAATGATATTTCAAATTCTTTTAATTTGGCAATAGAAATCTTTAATTTCAGTAAATGTGAATGACTGATTTCTTACTTCAGATGAACAATTATTTCTTAAATACATTAGAATTTTGTATTCTATATGTATAATGTCTAAAGTGAACACTATGGTTTCGAGACTGCAAATAAGCAAAAATCACCTTTGTTGAAAAAGTAGGAACGAAAAAGAAAAAACTTACTCCATCTCCCAAACCATAAAATAAACAATATTTTTCAACCGATAAAATATGTAAATCAAACCCCAAAAATAATCGTTTCTGGAGCCTCTAAAAAGTATAAATAAGAAAACTGAACCTTTTTATTCAGATGTCATCTGTACTGACCACAACACATATTTTATCATACGCACATGCTTGAACGTTTTTCAACTTGATTAATTTAAAAAATAAATACCATAAATTTATAAAAAACATTATTTGTATTTTATATGACATACAAACATTTCTTGAACATATACAAACATATGTGAGACTAGAAACTTTGTCATATAAACGTTAACGACACGGCACTATTCATGCACATACGTCAAATGTACCAAGTAAATAGATAAAGCTTGTGTATATAAATTTCATTTCTTTATTTACTACCGTTAAAAACATGTTTTTTCTTGCGTACTTTTTAAAGACACCTTTAGGCACTCATCACTTATTGATTATTACCCTCTTTGCTAGTTGTTATAAGGAAAGGTAAAGGTAAAGTGATAGCATCAAAACATTTACTCGCTTATTCTCGGTTTTTGCTCAGCAACATCAAATGGAGATGGAGCCTAAGCTTGTTTTGTAGTTTTTTCGCACTCATAAATGGCGTAATCCCAAAATATTAAATTGCAATTGGTTCAACTAAGTAGGTTCTTATCGTTAGGTGTTCTATTGACTAGAATCTAGACAGAGTCTATTACATGCAATAATATTTTTTTCTTTTAATCAATCTATTTTTAACCAATGAATCACATTAACTCTAAAGATAATTTGGTGCTACTATAGCGTGAGGTCTACCTCAATATGTCGTCTACTCAGGTGCAGAGCGGAGATCTACTGTGCTCCACCCCTCACGTGGTTCGGTGATTCATTCAGATGAGTGGTCTGCTTATAGTAATTTAAATGCCATGGGTTACCAACATTCAACAGAGAATCACCAGTGACATTATGCGGATCCAGCGACAGGAGCACACAGTCAGGCAATTGAGCGATCGTGGTTGGATGTTTTTGGATTGTCAAGAAAATGCGAGGTGTTGGTAGTCAGCTGTTCCAGTCACATCTTGATCATTTTTGCTGGAAGATGATGAGAAAAAATTTCAATGATCTATTCGTGTCATTCCTCGCAAAAATAAATGTATGTATTGTATTTGATAACGTGTTTATTTTTACCTCTCTGCCTTTAATATAAATATAAATAGTATATAGATATATAAATGATAATATAAGGTTTAAATAAATATGTATACACATACAATATTATATTATGGTTCGATGCTCCGGTAGACCTCATACTATAGACGAAACGGGAGGTAAACCTCACGCTTCAGGTCGACATCACGTAGCACTGATAATTTTATATGCTTATATTAATGTATTTTTTTTATCAACTCTATGATTTAAACATTTTAAAATAAAGTTACTTTGTTGTTTGTTAATTGTAAACTGATTTTATTTATTTATTTTGCTCTTTTGTAGCTCGGGTAGGCTGTGTTGGTCTGAGTGTAAGCCTTTTGATATGTCCTATTGTGGTAATCATTTGCCGAAGAAAGTCACCCCGCCTGTATGCTATCATCGGAGGCTTAGTGACTTCACTTGGTTGTTTATTCATGGCTTTTTCCAATAAGATGCAGCATTTATACATTAGTCACAGTCTTGTATTCTCTGCTGGATGTGGTATCACAACAACCACTGCCAACATCATGCTTGGTCGATATTTTTGTCGGCGACGAGAATTAGCTGAACTGATTGCAATGGCCGCTACAGGTATTGGGGCAACCATCATGTCCGTCCTCTTTCGTGTGCTCATCAGGTAGGCTAAGACCGTTTTATTTATGTATTTATTTATTTATCACAATATCTATCTCCTATATGCAAAATATGATTGAAACCGCAATATTTTAATGATAAATTTTGTCTTGCTTTCACCACAATTTTGTTAATATTAGTGAAACATCACAAAAGATGTGGCTTGCTAGTTTGAGTAAAAGAGTATAAATCATGTTTTATAACTGTCAGTTATCACCAGGTGACATTTTGAGCTAAAAAAATGCCTGTACTTCAAATAAATACTCGGATATTGCTTCTCATCATATATATTGTTACTCTGCGTTGATCTATGTGAAAATCAGAAGTTACGTCCCTTACACGTTTTATTCAACAACAGTAACACACCAATTGTATGTAGTATAAAAAGGTTTCAGTTTCTTATCCTTTTATTATAACACAGAAATAACTTCTAGAGAAAATAGGAAAATACTAATACTGATATTTTCTGAATCTTTTTCTATCACATTTACTATATATTTTCTGAATCTTTTTCTATCACATTGTCGTGAAACATTTCGCTGTTTTGCTACTGTTGCAATCCACGTCTAAACTCTGTCAGACAACTGCAATTCTTGTTTTCTTTTTTCTTTTTTTGAAGGCTTCTCTTTTTCTTTAGTATTGGGTTCAAATTCAGTTGCTGCATTTAGCTACAAAATATGTATTTACTTAAAAAGGATTCCAACGACAGACTGTTTTACCATCGACTTCTTTTTGTGAACCCCTTTTATATATACCCATTTCTACTCAAGTACGCTCACTGATCGGTATTTTAGAACCAGATATTAATGAGATACACACAATTTAATTAAAGAAATAATATGCCTATGTTATTGCGTATCAACATTATAATAATTATAGCAGTAACAATTGTCTTAATAATACAGTTTTTCTTTTCGAACCTTTTGATTTTTCTTTTTAACGATCAACCTTTAAAAGTTTAAGTCAAAATTAACATTTTTGACCACTTAGACTCAAGTCTGTTTCCTCTTATTCTTCCGATCAAAATTATCTATCATATAAATTTTTTTTAAATTTTACTAATTTCTTTCACCCATATTAACGATTACAGAATAAAAATGGAAAATAATTATCTGTAAAATTTCCAAAACTTTTTTATAAAATTCATTAATCTTCTATTAAAATCTTGGCAAATGTAATAATGGTAAGAAAATGAAAAACAAATTTGCACAATAAATTTCAATAAAACAATAGAATATATTGATAAAGTTATTTTTAATTTTATGTTTTCAGTCGATTAACATGGACAAGGGCTCTACAGTGCATAGCTGGGATGCAAGTATTAACAATATTTGCAGGATTCTTATATCGTTCAGCCTCCCTGTATCATCCCCGACGAAAGATGCTCTTACATATTAAAAACCAGATGAAATCAAGACGAGATCGTGAAGCCCAGAAACCAGCTTATTTTGACTTTCGAGCACTGCGCATGCACGCTCTGTTAATGCTGCTATTGATTATAGTTATTATAGGACTTGGTATACATGTCCCTTTTATTTTATTAGTAAGTATAATTGAATTATTTTGTAATCACTTTTTGCACATGTATTACAATTATTTGAAAACTTTGGTGAAATCAAAATGTAAAATACATATATCTTTCTCGTTTCAGTTATATACTGCATCGCAACATAATGTGGGAGCCGATAAGCTTTTACTGCTGAATATATACTTGTGCACAGGTTTTGTAGCCGGATGCTTTGCATTTGGCTATGTAATAATTCGTCAAAGTAAAGAATGTTTAATTTCGAGACGTCACCTTTGTCAAACAGCTGCAATGTCTGGAGGTCTCATTACAGTTCTCTTACTTTTAGCTGATAATCTCACCGCTCATGCATTATACGCATGGGGTTATGGTATAGCCTGTGGAGGTTACTATTATAGTTTAAAACTATATATATTTCAGCTAGTCAAAGTAAAAATTATGGAACGAGCTTGGGGCTTTGCGTGTGCTGCTCAATCAATATCAACTTTGGCAGGAACTCTCACAGCTAGTAAGTACGAAATAACACTCACGCATGCGCGCGAGCGCACACCACAGAGAGAGCGAGAGAGAGAGAGAGAGAGAGAGAGAGAGAGAGAGAGCCACAAACGTAAAAATCAAGTCAAATATGATCTCCGAAATAACATCCAGTAATAATTTTGTGACATCTGGAATAATTTTGCATAATTTCTTAAAGAAACCATTTGGTATTTTCAGTAAATACTATGCTTTTTGAATTGGAATCAAATTGTTTTAGACTAACTTTTCATTTAAAAAATTCTGAATCTAATAAAAATCTGAAATAAATATGATTTGCAACAGCGTTTCAGATATGAAGCAGTAATTAGTTGGTTTGATTTTAAAACCTGTTTACATTATAGTAATTTGTATAGCGATATTTCTTTTAGTAAATTATATATAAGAACATATCTGATAAAATAAATTGAGCATTACAAATAAAAAACAAAAAATGAAATTCAAATTGTATTTGTGCTAAGCTTCTGCGCATGATAATTTTCCATGGAAGATTTTAGAGGATACTAGAATATTTTCCCAAATTGTATCAAAAAGTCTATACTATTAAAACATGGCATATTCCAACAATACACAAACGTGTAAATTTCACTATTAAAAATAACATCAGTTGGTAAACGATTTACTGATATTAAATGCTGTTCATTTTAATTAGTAATAACTAAAAATGAAGAATGGGTAATTTAACCAGTACAGTCTAATGCTATACAAATAACTAAAATAATTTACAATAAAGTGTTAATATTTTATTCTATAATTTTCTTTTTCGAATATAATATTTTTCAAGTTTGCCATTCAGTTCATGAATCATAAAGATTTTATTTTGCAAGAGATAAAAATCTTTGAATTAGGAATGAGAATATAACAACGTAAGAAAATGAGCATTTTTAGTTTCAAATTAAAATTTAATTTCTATTGGAAAATTTAAATTAATCCATTATTAAAACATTTTTTATTAAATTTTCAATCTTTTTCTTTTTTTTCTTTACAGTGTATCTAAATGATAGGTATGACAGTACATCGGCCGGCTATGTTTTTGCAGGATGCACTATGATTGTTGGAGGTCTGGGTATGTTTTTTATGCCGACATTTGAGCGTCATCCTAGTAATCAAGAAGTTATTGATAGCTACTCTAGCACAATATGTCAAAATGTGTCCGAAGCTGTGGCATTACTTGACATTGATGTAGCAGACTGTATTGTGGATAAACCAATGGATAATATACAATATGTCGTGTGCCCAGTTCATCTAAAATCATCCGATAAGGACAACAATAAAACACATCTACAATGTCTGATTCAACAAAAAAATAAACAAAAACAAATAATTTTGTCAAAGATAAATGAGGAAAAAGACAGTTTTCATTTAGATTTGAAGCAATTATCACCTGTATCGGCCATCACGAAAATATCCGAATTTCTAAATAGTCGCAAAGAATCATCAAAAAAAGACACTGGTGGGATATGCGGTGTTTTGCAAGAGATTGGCTCAGACAGTATTGTATCAAATCGCTCAGATCGTTCAAGCAAAGAGCAATCAAGGCGAAGTAGCGAAAAACGATTCCGTAGTAAAGGATCTGATATTGGAAGAGATGATGGGAGTGATCCACCAAGTGTTGAGAAGGAATCAACTGCCACTGTGTCCTATGATAGTGATTTATATGTAAATTTGTGTGAAGCACAAGTGTAATTATTTATCCCAAAATATACGCGCGTTCAACATTTCAAATACCTCTTTAGTAATTTATCTTATTTTCATTGTTTTCATATATTGCAAAATATTATATAACTGAATACTAAATTTCATAAATAGAATATTAAGTATATGAAAAATTATAAAAACATATTTATTTTGTTCATTTTATTTCTTGAAAAATATATAAAATCAAATATTTACGTTTTACAGCATTTGTTAATTACCATTTTATGTATAAAAATGAAAAGAGCAATAGTTACAGCAGAGAAGTGGTTTAAAATTTCACTTTACTAAAAGTATTTTGCGAATGATTGATTATGTTTGCATTTGATGGAATTACAATGAACATCAATTGAAAACAACTGTGTCTGGCTATATGCATAAATACATGCATGCCCGTATATGCCCGAAGACTATCCCAAAATTTTGGAAAACTGAACAGCATCTGTGAACTGGGCGTAATACGGACTTTTACGCTCGCATTTGCGATTAATACCTTTATGGCAAGCAGTGTTCTGGCTGACAAGGGGAATAATTCAAAGGTAACTGCGAAGCTAATAGAGTATTTTTTCAGTTCAGCAAAACTTTTAGATAGCACCACACACACACACACACACACACACACACGCACACACACACACGCACACACACACACACACACACACACACACATATATATATATATATATATATATATATATATATATAGACGTGTGCACGTGTAAATGCCACCCATACACCCACACATGCATTATGCATATTGTTTGCCAAATTTAACCCTTCCTAGAAGTCATTATGTTTGTGTAAATATGCAGAACGAGCATGAAAAAAATCAATGTTTCATCGTATGTCATTTATAATAAAATTCAGTTGCAATTAATATTTCATTCGGTTGACATAATGGGTGACTTTATTTGCAATGCTGAATTAAAATATATTTTCATTTAGACAGTTTTTTTTTTATCCTCAGTGCTTGTAACCATGTTTTAATTGATTAATTCTATATAGAAACGTTTTTGAGATGTTTGTTGATCCTAAATAGTATACTGGGTTAATGTTAAGGAAGAAAGACTGGTAAATACAAACTGCTCTCTCGAGTAGTTTGTAACACATCTATTTATCATCACTCAGTTGCGTTTCTGTCTTTAGGCAGAGTGCACTCAGGGGCGACTCCGTCAAAGGACAGAGTCGGAACTGAGCAAAATTATACTAAGAGGTGCCCAGCCCTGGGGGACAGCTGTCCGAGGCCGCGCCTTCTTATTGCACCAGAGAGAGGGATCAGTGCTCGCGCCGGGGCCAACGCAACCGATGGTTGCAGGATCTGCGGGTAATTTTTCACAACGCGACTTCAACGGGGGGGGGGGGTCGAGTAAATACCAAATTACTATAAAGTAGAGTTGAGGCTTTTTAATCTCAGAATTCGTGGGAGAATTGATCTCCGGTTTCGCATTTATTCATATAGATTCCATAATATAGGTTTTACTTACTTAGCTAACTCTTCAAATATTGAAAGCATAACTAATTCTAATTTTGCCCCATCTTTGCACTATATTAATTTTATCTTATAAATTGTTACCTTTTCTGTCACCCATGAAATAAAAACAATTGTTTGTACAGAAAATAAAGATCTACGTACATCAAATCGTCCTTAAATTAAGTGGCAACAGAAGAATTATCGTTGAACTTTTAAAAGGTAAGCTTAAACATTCAATACTTAAATGTGGCGATCAATTTTGAGTTCTTCTGTAGTTTAGTTCTGTCGCATCTACTCCTCTCTAGCTATTATGATGATGACCAAACTAAGATAGGGCAGCTTTTAAGCTAGCTTAATATTTTAAGGTAGCTGCTAATTTGGATACAAAAGGAAAATAATAGTAATATATTAATATATATTTTTTAACCTCGCATAATCTGGCAATCCTGAATCTGAGCTCAACGAAAATCGTTCCCTGTGCCTAATTTTTCTAGGGCTTTTGAATGAGTTATGAATCATTGAAATCGGACCAGTGGGAGGGGAGGTGTTGTTTGGACGCACACACGCACAAACATAATTTATATATAAGATTTATATTGAAATATCATAGTACATATATTGAAATAGGTTACACATATAGACATAAGTGAATCAAATGTAATGAACGATTCAAATTGAAATTCAAACTAGAAAGTATAAATCAATGAACGTATAAAGTTATATATTGTTAATGATGAAGATGAGCAGCATCATACCGCACTATTAAAACATCTTTAGAATTTTATGAATTTCAAACCAGAAAAGAGAAACAGATTTTGACCGAGTCGTAATGGTAATTATCTGAATAAATAGTTTGGTGGGAAAAGAAACCTGTATGTATGCCTAGTGAATTGAGTTATGTTGTCGCTGAATGTGACGGATAACCAAATACTGGTATTTAAAAGATAAATCAATTCAGGAAGTAAGAACAACATAAACTTTGTTTTATTATTCCTTCATTTAATGAACGGCAACAGTGTGTGAATCATTTCCGTTCTCGGAAATAGAGTGAAGTCCATCTGTAGTCACATATGTCGTATCAATAAGATTAGATTCTCACATGATCATTTTCGTTCAAACTTAAGGTAGTCCAGTACAACTAGCTTAATTTACAAGTCTTTATTTGGCGATAACTAAAGAGGACGAGCTCTTCAAGTTGGCATAAATATAGAACTGTTGCAGGTTTTTGAAGAATGCTGATTAGTTTTATTCCTCTTAGTCACTGTTCTACCAACCATTTACACATTTGTCCTTAGACAAAGGGTTATGCGCTGTTTTCCTCTGTTCCCTTTGCTTTCAATATGCCCTGTTATTGTCAAATTCTACAAGACGTCTTTCCTCATTTTGTACCCTAGAAATTCTAATTGTCTCTTTCTGATTCTAAGTATAAGTTTCCTTTTTTGTTTTCATTTTTCTTAAACCTTCCTCGTAGCTCCATGTTCAATCTATGGCATTTTCAATATTCTTCTGTAGAGCCACATTTCTGTTACCCCAACTAAAACCTTAGATACAATGGCGGACCAAATGAAATAATAACAATAGTAGGAAACATAAGAATACAGGATAATTATTAGTTCTGTAAGTTTTACATTTGTTTCGCTATTAGGTCTCATATTGTTAGTTTTGAATTAGGTTCAAATGTGTTATATTGATTTCAAACCCATCAAACGTTTTTCTTTCTTACTTCATACTTACAATGGTCCTCTTGTTAGTCAAAACCGATGTAATGCAATTCATACAAAGTCTATTTCTGGTAACAAAAACGCAGATGATCGAAATTTTATGTAGATACCATCATTAAAAACCATTATTATCTGCTGATTATTGCATACAACCATGTCAGATTGAAAATTCCAATGGAATGATTTTTATTAGGTTTTTATGCAGGTTTTACATGACCCACAGGAAAAAGAAACGGTTGGTCATGCAATCTGTTACATGGTAAATTTGAAAGTATTATGGAATTAATATTGTCGATTATGTTAAAGTCAAAAGATTGATTTCATCTATATTAATATAAAGATATCTATATTAATAGACAAACATCGATAAAACAATTGTTACAATTTTCTCTCAATGGAAATTACGTTGTCCAGAAGTCTCGTATGAATTTTGTGTGTGGTTGCATGTGAGTGCTAGCAATAAGTTCTTTGACATTCTAAATGAAAATCTAAGCAACTGCAACATATTAACACGATTTAATAGAAACATTTTTAAATCAAAATACTTGGCTTTCAATTTTAATAAGTGAGCAATTATTTTTTCAACTTCCGTATGCACTTGAGATGCACTGAGATATTTTAAAAGATATATGGAACAATATAAAAATGCAAATGTTTTTGTTGTTGACTTGATTATTTTTACGCACATATATGGACGCAAAAGCAAACACATTTGTGTTTTATTACTTTTTCAAAGTTTCTATATATTTTCTTCAGCTGTCTCTAATGTTGAACGTTCGTTTTTAATACAATGAGCTAATATATAAAATAATTATTTGTATATCTGACAAAGGAAATGAAAGTTCGATTTATATATAAAATCATTTAACTAAATGAGAATATCAAATGATTGGACACATGACGGAAAATAAAAAGTTTTAAAAAAATTACTTTTTCATTCGACAGAAACAGTGATTTCTTTCTCAACACTTTTCATTTAAAGAGTTGGCTCAAGAAAAAAACGTGATGAAGTTTAATAAATAACAGGAAATAATACTGTTGCATTTATGCATGGAAAATACTGTTCATAAGAATTCTTTATTGTACAATTGTTAGTTTGAATTTATTTTTTGAC